GGTCAATTAGTTCTTCAAATGTTACCTTTAAGTTAATTTTATTGTTTTGTGATATTAATAATGCTAATATATTGATATTTTAAAAATTTTGATCTATTTTTTGCTTCTGTTTAGCGTAGTCATGGTTGCTAGGTGACATGACGTACGCCGGGGTGGAGGGGAGGCTAGACCGTCCAAATTCACAGGCACTTTTTTTCCGGTCTACCAAGGACCCGGCCCACCTCGACAGGGTAGTCTGGGTCCTCCGGAGGACCCGGCCTGTCGTTTTGGACACAGCTGTAATATTGCCCCTTTAAGGAAACATTGTTCACCTTTTCGTTATAAACTGTAGAACTTTTATTTTTTTTGGTGTTGTGTAGTTGACTTGTTTTAGAAACAGAGTGAGAAAATGAGTTACACTGTAACTGTGAAATTTAGGTTTGATTTTACTGACTGTATTTTTTAAATTCACAAGCTTTTATAAAAAAATAAAATAAAATGGTTCATTAAGCTCTTCCAACCAACAAATGAATATATAAAAAAACCTCGTGTTTCGCTCAGTTTGCATACAATTTCTTTTCTTTGAATGTATGTCTGTGTAGTCTTAACAGTTTTTTTAACTTTTAAGAATTTGAAATATTTACAAGGCATTTTTGCTTGTTAGTTGATACCTTGGCTTCATCTGAGGACGATGATGATGAAGAGGAGTCTTCATCAGAAGAAAACAAACAGTTGGCCAGTCAAAAGCTGATGCGTGAGTGATCACATCTCTACACGTTACCAATGCTGCAGCTGCGAATTGTGATTTATTGACTCACCAAAAGTGAGGTTTCTGAGTAAATGTTACAAACGCTCAGTGATTTTGGAGCTCTATAATTATAGGCCTGCCTTGTATGTGTGTGGGTCACTACTGGATGTATGATTTCACTGTGAATCAGAGGATCTTTAAGGCCTCAGTGACAGTGTTCACATGATTAATGTCTCTGCCATGACTAATCATGGTTAACCTTGGATGTCCCCCAATTTGTCTATAGTGTAATTAAGATACTTGGGCTTTTTCATCTCCTGCTACTTCCCGCTCAGCCAACAAAGGATCCAGCAGCTGCCAAGCATGAAAACCATGACGACCTTGAGTTTGTTCACTGACTTATCTCTCAATGAAATTTACACATCACTACTTAGCTGACAGCTCCAGTTTCCTCAGTTTATTTAAAATGTAAAAAAAAACACCTTATCTAATACTGCCAAACCCTTGGACCATTAGTCCTCTGTCCTGGTCCTTGAGGTCCTGCATGTTTTAGATGTTTCTCCACTTTATCACTCCTGATTTGAATAAACAAGTGATTAACAGGCTTCAGTATGAACTTGAAGACAGGCTGAAGAGCAGGGGAGCACTTAAAACGTGCAGGATGGTCGCCTTCGAGGACCAGGACTGAGGACCACTGCCTTAGACTATAATTATAAAAAACACTTTTTAATGATCATAGTTAAATTAAGCTAGAGGTCCAGCTTAGACTTAGCTTTAGGTTTTACCTACTTTTACATAATCTACTCATTACCTGATTATCCCATCAATTAAATTACTTGTGGAACATCATATTATTATTATTATTATTATTATTATTATTATTATTATAATCAGAAAAATAAAATTTACATCTAAATTTGGGTGGTCCTTGTTCTCCCATCATATCTGCAGCAGAATCAGGTGGACCACAGACAAAGAGCTCAAACAAAACTAAAATGAAACTCTGTAGCAGCAAATGTGGCCTTTATTTTAAAAGCAAGCTGAGTTTGAATTTCACAAACATTCTTGTAAAAACATTGAAAGTTGAGATTATTTACAGCTGCATTTCCAATCCTGTTGTTTGTGAGCATTCTTCTTTGTTTACCTAATTTTAGTAGAAACTGTTTATGTTGTCCGGTATTACTGTTTGTTTGTTGGTTTGTTTGTTTATTGATGCCAGGTTTTTCCCTTTTTATACATGAACATTTTAAATATAATTTTTCAGAACATTAAGTGCTGCCATCCACTTGATTTTATTTGTGCAAATGAAAATGTTAAAATTTGTTTATGAAAAAAACCTGTCTATATTGTTTTATTATTAGCAATGGCTCCACAATGGGCTCATCCGGAAAAAATGTTGAAGCAGCTTCACGCTGTTCCAGCCAGTAAGACAGTGAAGTTTCGATGCCAGGCCAGTGGCAACCCAACTCCTGTTCTAAAGTGGTTCAAGAATGGGAAGGAGTTCAAGAGAGACCACCGCATCGGAGGCTTCAAGGTTAATAATAATGTTTTATTTTGGTCTTTTTATTACTACCAAAAACATTTTCTTTAATTAGATCAACCCCAGCTGCTTGGCTACCACTAAGGATGTGTTTGTAACCTCATCTCCACAGTAGATCACAGCCCTCTCCCCTTGAGTTAAAAATGCTCTCTGCAATTGAAAAGGGGAGGCAAGTTTCACAGTTGACCTGAGAAACAATGCTAGTTGAAACCCWATGCCACCAGAAGGAATGCTGTGCCACAGTTATACCTGTAGGTGGGCAATTCTAGCCACCTGTTTGAGTGAAGAAAAACACTGACTGCCCTCATTCCAGGTGTCACTGATCGCTGGCTCTGTAATTACATCCACGCAGTAGTGAATTTACCATGATACCTTCTGTAACATGTGATTACTGTTTGTGTCTTTGTTTACTGACAGCCTGTATTCATAGGTGTTAGTAAGTCTGTTAGTTATAAATGGATAAGATCGCTCACTCCAGCCTCTGGGTTTACTTAACAGAAGCGTCAGGTTTGGGGTGTGAGGGTTCAGTTGTTTGACTCTGTACTGTAWACACCATCCTGATCTTTGACGTTCCCTCAATGATCTGCCTTTAAGAACTGTGCAGATCTTTAATTTCTTTATGGACAGATTTGTTATTCATTTTATGGTTTAAAAAGCACTAGAACATAATTCATCCACAAGATTAACTGAGCAAGGATATTATGTCCTTTTGTTAAAAGCTACATTCAGTACATTCATACAGCAGTTTGCTCACAGGTGTGGGATGCGTGCTCTGGGTCTAAAAAAGAAATCAACCCTCTTCTGCACGTCTGCTGTTCCCATCAAGGTGTTGGTTAATCCGGTCCTGTGCTTAGCCTTTCCCAACCATCTCCTTCTGCACCTGGGACACATTTAGGAGTTTCCTCTTAGCTGCCCTTATCTCCCCTAAACCCTCCACCAAGCCAGGCAGCACATGTAACCGTCTGGCTGCAGATTTTTTTTTTAGTTTATTTTCAGTCAAGGTGCAAAGATCTCGTGAACGTCTAAAAGACGTCCACCATCCCTCCCACGCTTTTGCTTTTATGACGGGGCCTCTATTGTTCATATCGTCTGAACGGAGATGTGCAGGAGTGATGGAGTAATGTAGACCACATGTATATGAAGCCAAGCACAGCACATCTGGCAGCAGGCAGCTGGAGTTCCTCATCACGTATTTTAGCTAAATGAGGGAGACTGTATGGCTCGGCCTGTGTGTATGCATGTTTGATGTTACCATTGCCTTAGAGGTTTGCTGGCTAATCACACACTGCCGGTCTTGGCAGATTTATAGAAGAAAAATTATAACATGTCTTGGAAAAAAAGGAGCCAGACCCTAGTTGGTGCTAATAAGACGGGTTGGGGCACGTACGTTTAAAACGTGTACCATTTTCTTTKAGCAGTTTTTGTTTGATTAGTGAAAGATCTGTTGAAACTTTTTAGAGCTGATGGGTTTAGTGTGTTTATTGTGGTGATTTTTTTAATAACAGCCCCTTTAATCTTTCTCACACAGTAAACTGTTGTCCTGYTGCTTATTTTGTCCTCATGCATTTAGGTTCGTGACCATGTGTGGACCATCATCATGGAATCTGTAGTACCCTCTGATAAGGGAAACTATACCTGTGTGGTGGAAAACCAGTATGGCAGCATTAATCACACCTACCAACTGGATGTAGTTGGTAAGAGTTAAAGATAATCACAATAACTGTACATTCCTTTCCAAAAAATCCTCATTTTTTCTTTGGTTTTATGGTGAATTAGTTGTGTAAAATATCTGAAAGTAACACATCAGYTTAAAGAACAAATGTGATTCCAGCAGCACAAAGTTACAGCATTGGTGCCTTTTTGTCACAGTTTTGATCAACTTGTTTGGGTGTTGGGCCTGCATAGAGGAGAGATGTAATTACTCCTCTTGGGCCTGCCCTCCGACTCGATCTTGTGCTGTTGGTCTTATAAAWCAGTCCCACTTCCTCCATCCTGCCYTRCCCTGGGCTTTCCCTGTTCCAAGTTGAGGTCTCGAGCCTGTTGAGCACAGAGTGTTTTTAGTAGGAGGAAAMTATGATTACAAGTGCTTACTAAGTGCTGAAGGATGTCACTGTCACAAACAGCTTGCACAGTTGACATTATTCCAGATTTTTGGGGGGCTGTAGGCTTACTTCAGTCATCAGAATAACACTACTGGAGCCTAAATTTACAGTGATCTCTTCTTGTGTTGCTAATGTTTACACATCTACTTCAACTAGCTCTAAAGATACTCCCTAGGAGCTAAAACATAGGAATTTAATGTATTCATCTAAAACATTGTTTTTTTGAAATTGCACTATATAAACTCACATAATTCAGTGAACATTGTTTGCCATCAGCCCTGGCCACGTCCACTCTCCAGCTTCAGTCTGTTTTATTCAGGGGGTATTCAGTCAGTCTTGTGCACTTTTCAAATGTTGCACATTTGTTGGTCTTTAGTGTTGAATCTTCACTGTTTTCCATAAATAACAACTAACATTTCTGCTTCTTTCTGTTGTGCAGAGCGTTCTCCCCACAGGCCAATCCTTCAGGCTGGCCTGCCAGCGAATCGCACAGTAGTGGTAGGCAACGATGTGGAGTTTGAGTGCAAGGTGTTTAGTGACCCTCAGCCTCACATTCAGTGGCTGAAACACATAGAAATTAATGGCAGCCGTGTTGGACCTGATGGTTTACCCTACGTTCGAGTCCTGAAGGTAGGAGCTGAGTGTTCATTTCTTTTTACAGTTTTAGTGATGCTTTTTGGAAACAGCTAATTTTAGTATGAAAGAATGTATGCTTGTTTTTTAAGTGCTATTTCAGTTTTTTGTTTATTGTCCTGTAAAGATAGTTTTATAATTACATTGTTTTCAACCTCTCAAACTCATTGAAGGTCTTGCATCGTCTGCTGTTTTTGTTTTCCTGTCCTGCACTTTGACTTGTTTTTATATCTAGCATTCAGGGGTGAATAGCTCCGACGCTCAGGTGCTCACCCTCTACAATGTGACTGAGGAGGAGAGCGGAGAGTATATTTGTAAAGTGTCCAATTATATAGGAGAGGCCAATCAGTCAGCCTGGCTGACTGTCATCAAATATGACCCCTCAGGTAACCACCACGCAGCAGTACAGGGACGACACAAAGGAAGCGGTTCTAGGACCACCTGGAAATACTAAAGTCTTATAACCGGAGACAACCTCAGCTGTTTCTCTCCTCCCTCCCTCCCTCCGTTTCGCCTTCCTCTCTCCTCAGAGCTCCTGACTGTAAATGACGCTATGGAAAATTCCCAGCAGAACAGTTGAAAGTGTTTAGTCTCAGGTTTATGTTGGATCCATTCTCATTCCTGCCCCATGCCTGTGCCTTGCCCTCCTAATAAGGGCCTCTCCTGCCATCTTCTATTACTCTTGCTTCCTTGCACATCAAAGTCATCTGTACATGGCTCACAAACTCTTTTTTTCCCTTCTTTTTCTGGTTCTTATCTTCAAATAGRGTTTTACACACCTGCTATTTGTGTAGAGCTCATGTTTGAGTGTGAGTGTGAGTGTGACCTGTTCTGCTGTGGAGTTTTCCATGCCCATCTCTTGCATGTAGAGATGAGACTGAGGTATTTTATGTGGTGATGGTGTTACCCAACGTGAAGTTCAGCAGCACAGACTCAACCTGACCATGTTTTTCCACTAACAGATACTGAAGGGCTCTTCCTGACAGAGTCCTTTGTAGGATCTTTTGGTGTTTTACTTTTTGGGCAGATGGTGTTGGACTGAGGAGGAGAACGCTCCTCCATCCTCCTTTTCTTTCAGAATTCTTTGCTCATGGTCCCATTTCCCTCTTGGGCCTTGTTTGGTCTACTTCCTGTATTTTCTAGACTGCTGGCCTTAACACCACGGACAAGGAAATGGAAGTTCTTCAACTGAGAAATGTGTCTTTTGATGACGCTGGGGAGTATACCTGCTTGGCGGGCAATTCTATCGGGTATTCTCATCACTCTGCATGGTTGACCGTTTTGGAAGGTATCAGTGGTTCTGTCTCTCTCTACATTTTCAAAATTTCCCTTTTACCAATACAAGCCTGGCTATCCTCAATTACCAGAAAAAAAGTATTTTCAGACTTCATTTTCTGGTGACAAATGTGAGAGGAAGCCAGGGCGCATTAAAAGTACTAAAACTCTCCCCTGTCTCTGAGCTCAGCATGACTCCAACTCCATCTTAATTCTCAAGATGGATTAAAGTAGGAGGCATGCTCTGCTGTTTCTACTATAACATCAGCAAATGCCAAACAGCCCAAAAGCTATCTGGAACTTTAAAAAAATAAAATCATGTAATGTTCTCAGCCAGGTAGCTTAAATTTCTACAAGGGTTGTTTGGCAGCTCTGATCAGATTTCACTTTGAACTGTCTCTTCTTCTCCTCTCTTTAAAGGGTGATTGCATTTAAATTGTATAAGGCTGATTTTCTTTGACAAGCGCTACAAATGACATGTATCCCTGATGTCATTTCCTGCTGTGAGCACAGTGGCTGGCTTTGATAATTGGCTCTCTGCAGTGGATGTGTCTCATTCCTGAGGATACTGGAATGGACATTTCTTCAATTATCAAGCTGCTTGTCAGTCAGCCTTTTCACACAAGTGTAACTCACTTGTGTTGCACATGTTGTTGGTTAGAGYTGTACGCTTTGGGTTGTACACTTGGTTTGAGATGCAACATGGAGTCCTTCTAGCACAAGTGGTTTAAAGCACTCTGTCATTTACATAGAGCAGCAGACCGTGTCAGTTCATTTACCATTGATATACAGTGCCGCAACTGAATGTTTATTGTAATTAAACCAAGAATATATGTAGAAAATTATACATTCAAACTAAGATAGTACTTTGAACTGAGGTATTTATTGAGAATAAACTCACAGAAATGAATGTATTTGTGTAGCATTTATAATTAACATTTTAGTTTCATGACAAACCACTAAAATAAGACACTTCAACTTTCTACCACATCTGTATTTGTTTTACTTCATTTAGTTTTAAAGGGAAGTCTCAAAAAAGGGAAAGTCATAATTAGCATCAGTACCTGAGATGTGGCTCCTCTGCACAAATCTGCCTCTCAAACCAAAGTGTATTCTAAACAAATTGTTTTTCTGAAGCGTTGCACCACTCCAACAGATTTGAATAAATGTCGGTGTTTTCACTAAGTGGGAGGAAAAAAACATGACCTGAATTTAGACTTTATATATTTATAAGTAATGTTTTTCTSTGCAATACAGTATGTAAGATGATGTTGCAACAACAACAAAAATACACAAAAAAGGGATAAAATCATTCATTTTTGAATGGATTGAGTTAAACTGTAAAACTGTAGCACTGAGCCTCTTTTGGTATGATGCTTGGGCCTACCAGTATCTGTTAAATATTTGAGCAATAAAACTGTGTGATGTATTGATGGTCTGTCTAAAAGCCAGATCCTTGACACATGAAACTATTTTTATAAGCTGGTTCTTTACTAAGACAAGCATTTCAGTCATAGACGAGTGGAAGACTCTGGCCTTTAGACATTGTTTGTGACTGTGTGTGAAGGGGGACATTGGGTTTGTGTTGCTGAGAGCTTGGTTGTGTACTTGGATGTGTTTATATAATTACTTCAAGACAGCTTACCCTGCCTCACCCTGCCCCCCTCATTTAGCTGCCACACCATACCCGCCAGCCAGCGCCACCTACTTGGAGGTGGTCATCTACTGTGTGGGCTTCTTCATCATCGTCACCATGGTTGCTATTGCTATAATGGTCAAGATGCGCTCGTCCTCAAAGAAGGGGGACTTCAACAGTCAGCTGGCTGTCCACAAGCTGGCCAAAAGCATCCCCCTGCGCAGACAGGTAACAGAAAGTAGATAGGGGGTTTGCCACCTTTATACTTGCACTTTCTTCTGTCATTTGTTTCCATTTTTAAAGATGCAAAGCTTTTTCATAACACATTCTATTTTTGGTTTGGGCATATTTCAACAACAAACCTTGTTGTTGTCTGAATGTATTTGCACAGTTTGCAGGTTTATTAAATGTTGATGGTCTTTGACATTGGGTAAGTTTGAGTATTTGAAGAGAACATAGACTAAACCACACCACAGTAGTTGTGTCTGAAGTTGACATAAGTGAATTTTCTAGAAGTACAGCAAGCACGTAATTACATTTTCACTTGAGAGGGCTTCAAGTTAACTAAACCTCTGCGACTGGTGACAGTTCCACTGTGAGAGGAGTAATGTCACTGTTACTTACCTCAGGTTTCTGTGGACTCGAGCTCTTCCATCCACTCAGGAGTGATGCTGGTCCGTCCTTCCCGCCTGTCCTCCAGTGGAACTCCGATGCTTTCTGGAGTATCTGAGTATGAACTACCTCAGGATCCTCGTTGGGAGCTGCCCAGAGACAAGTATGTTAAAAATTTAAGACGATATAACATAACTCGTATGCGTCTGTGTTCGGCTTACAGTCTACACAAGACAAACTTTTATACAGTCTTCCAAAAGGAAACCAGCACTTCCTGCTTAAAATAACACTACAGGTTATACAGTTGTTTAGATGTTGATGCAGTATTACTTCTGTTGTCGTTAACTTCTTTCATCACAATTTAAAAGAGAAAAATGTAAACTAGAAGGAAAAACTAAAATGGAAGGCAGTAGGCYTTTGTCATGTCTACATATGTTATTGCTTTAAAATGCTAGCAGTATGCTATATTCGTTAGATTTAATTTGAATTGTTGAAGTTGTGAAACACTGAAGGCAAACTGAGACCTTTTTAAAGGCTCGACACTTGAGCCATTTTGTGATCTTTTAGGTAAATAAATAATGTAGCTGGTCAAATTTTGCTTATTCGTCATTTTCTTATATCTGAAAAAGGATATCCAGAGGACTGAAATATGTTCTGTAATGATTGAGGAAAAAACTGCGTAAGTTTTCCATTTGAGTGACTCCACTGACGTGTGCTCTCCTGCTCACAGACTTGTTTTAGGAAAGCCACTGGGAGAAGGCTGCTTCGGTCAGGTGGTGATGGGGGAGGCAGTGGGTCTGGACAAAGAGAAACCAAACCGTGTGACCAAGGTTGCAGTAAAAATGTTAAAACGTAAGTAAAAAAGTTTTTATTGTTTTCTGAAGTTAGGGTATAATAAACTTGCCAGTAATGATGCTGGAACTATTGCTTGAGGCTCTGTTTACATGCAAATGGTCTCTGGAAACTTTAGTGTTTTTTTTTTTTTTTCAATGTTTATTATTACAAAACGGTGTGTTATCATTGTTGCATAGATCTGCTGTAGTTTCCATGCCATGTAGGGTTGCCAGGATTTTTGTACCTTCTGGTTAAAATGATTGTATTTTGACTCAAACTCGTGCAGAGTGAGGGTGTTGTAAGATCAGGTGTGTTGTGTTTGGTAAACTTGCACAGAAAAAGAGGGATAAAAAAAACATGTTTGTTTTTTCCCCTCAGCCACTTGCAGTGTCAGCATGATCAGTTTCATGCAAACTGTTGAATATAGTAATGTTCCTTCAGTCTCAAGATGTTGTTTTTGCCCCTACATGCTAAAAACACAAAAAACACTGCTCTCTGCCTTTTATTGTTGCTGCTCTAAGTGCAAAAAAAAGCCTGTAGCATGCTTGTGCGATTTCACACCTGTGGAGTATTTCACACCCTCCTGGGGGTTTCCCTCAGAAAACCGTCACTCTGAGATCAGGGTTCAAAAAATGAGGACCGTTGTCTTGTACACAACGTCCAAACTGTGGCAGAAAAGATGCAGTTTTATTTAAAAAAAAAACGTGTTGTGTGAACCGAGTCTGAGATGAGTTTGTTAATAAGTAACTAGCAGGGAGGAAAGTCTTCAGCGTACAGAAACAGCTTCAACGGAAGCTCCATGTCCAGGTTTTAGGGACAATAAAAGCTTTGAACAGTTTCCTCTGCTGGATTCCTGCCATTGTGCAAATGGTAGAGTGGAGTAAAAATTTATGAGAACCCTTGACATCCCGTATAAAACGGTGTTCATTAAACTGCTTAGGGGAGTGATGATGGAGCAAAGTAGCATTTATTGTCTCTACTTTAAGTGTTTGTCCCCAGGGTGCACTGCACAGACAACAAACACCAGCCTGTTTTTAAACAGCTGCAGTGTTGATGTTTACATTTTGCAAAGTCATAARCATGAAGCCTTTTTTTTTCCAGCCACAGAGTATGGATTAATTGACTAATTACCCTGATTTTCCTGCCTTACAGCTGACGCCACAGAGAAAGACCTGTCAGACTTGATTTCAGAGATGGAAATGATGAAGATCATTGGGAAGCACAAGAACATCATTAATCTGCTGGGAGCCTGCACACAGGATGGTAGGATAAGAAGAGCAGGGGCCTAACACTGACCTGCTCCGGTTGTCTGAGACCAACACACACACACACACACACACACACACACTCCAGACAAGAGAGCTGCTGTGAGCCTCACTTTGGAAGATGTGTAGGAAAGCGTGCATAAATGATTCTGACACCAGTATCAGAGCTCACAGCTTGAATCAACCACAGCTGCTGTCCTTTTCTCCAAACATCCTGACTTAAAAACATACAACTGTATGGTGTACATACCTGCAGCAACATCTTTTAATTCTGCTGTGATTGTTTGCACAACAGATTAATTCCTAAATGTTTATTTTAACATCTGCCAGTAGATATATTTTATTTATTATTATACCTGCCTGTAGTTTTGATATCTAAAACTTTTATAATRGTGAACACGGATCAGCGTTCACGGTTTCCAACCACTCCAAACTCATAGGTGTATAGGTGCTGTCATATGACCAGCTGACATTTATACCTGCATCAAACTGAGGATAAATCCTATTTGTAGCTGGGTTTACAAAATATCATTGTAAAAAGCCAGAAGGTGTTGCATTGGCCTGTCGCAAATGCAGCAGCCATTTTAAATTGCACTCCTTTTTTCAGCTATGATCCTCTACAAAGTTAGAACACCCTCCAGGGAGGATMTTGGAAAATAAGTTGAAAGTCCTGGGCTAACATAGCTCTGTGGTTGAGAAATGGCTCCAGTTCAGAACTAGTTCTCAAACTGAGCCAGCTGCAAAATAAACCTTTACTTTTCAGCTGTAAATGCAGGGTTTGTGTTCAGTTTTGTGTTTTGTGCATAGCAATTCTCTCTGCTCCGTAGTCTCTTTATTAAATGCTGACCCATATTGCAGCAGCATGAAGCATAAACCTACACTTATTAAAATTGATTCCTTTTTGTTTTAATTTGTTCTAGGTCCTCTGTACGTCATAGTTGAATATGCATCCAAGGGCAACCTGAGGGAGTACCTGCGAGCTCGGCGCCCCCCAGGCATGGAGTACTGTTACAACCCAGACCAGGTTCCTGTGGAGAACATGTCCATGAAAGACCTGGTGTCCTGTGCTTACCAAGTTGCTCGAGGCATGGAGTATTTGGCTTCCAAAAAGGTAGCTGCAGAGCATGGCCGACAGACAAATATCTGAGCAGTTCACCTTTTAGATTCTGAGTATTTGATGGGTTCAGTTCATTTCTGTTTGGGTTCAGCCTTTTCAACATGTTGTTTGTCTTGTTCAGTGCATCCACAGAGACCTGGCTGCTCGTAACGTTCTGGTAACAGAGGACAATGTSATGAAAATAGCCGACTTCGGCCTGGCGAGAGATATCCACCACATTGACTACTACAAGAAGACCACCAACGTGAGTGTTGTAAAACTGTGTGTAAATGTTTCATACAGAATAACTACACGTGTGTTTCTCACAGGGTCGTCTACCTGTCAAGTGGATGGCTCCTGAGGCTCTGTTTGACCGGATATACACACACCAAAGTGATGTGTGAGTACCTCGTGCCACCTGACCAATTCATCCACCGTGGCATGTAGGAAACACAGATGTTATAATCAAGACACCCCGCTCTTCTTGTCTTCAGCTGGTCGTTCGGGGTTTTGCTTTGGGAGATTTTCACTCTGGGAGGCTCTCCGTACCCGGGTGTCCCAGTGGAGGAGTTGTTCAAGCTGCTAAAGGAGGGACACCGAATGGACAAACCTTCAACATGCACTCACCAGCTGTAAGGAAACACTGCAGACTGAACAGTTTCATAGAACATTCACATCATGTTTGTATCTGGTGTCATTAAGTTAATATGAACATTTTCACTCTGAATTCAACCTTTGTTTAAGAGAAAACATTAGAAGATATAACCATTTCATTCAGTATATAACACTTAATATCACATCTGACTTGGTCACACTGTGCCTCATCCTCAGTCCAAACAGTTGGCATCAATATTTACTTTAGCCTGCTGTTGTGTTCCAGACAAACTCCAGGTGCTTAGCAACACAATAAAGTTTCCTGACAGTGTTTGTGTGATGATCAGTGAATTTAAATGCTCAGCAGCTTTAAGTGAGCTCCAGCTGGAACAGAACAGACTGTCCAGTTTTGTTTGTTACCCACCTTCTGAAACTGAATGTCTTTTTGACCACTTCTCAGAGTTTAGGATTCTTATAACAAGAGAGTTGATCATTTATTTTTCTGGGTCTTTGTTTTTAAACCTTATGATCTGTGCAGGTATATGATGATGAGGGACTGCTGGCATGCTGTTCCCTCTCAGAGACCCACATTCAAGCAGCTGGTAGAAGACCTGGATCGATGTCTCGCCATGACATCCAACCAGGTCAGTCTGTCTTCACAGTAAAGCAGGAGATCAGCAGATCCTACAGGACACTGTTGATTTTTTATCTTTTTTTTCTTACAGGAATATTTAGAGCTCTCTGTGCCTCTGGACCAATATTCTCCAAGCTACCCTGAAACCCGGAGCTCTACCTGCTCCTCCGGTGAGGACTCTGTCTTCTCCCACGATGCAGGAGCAGAGGAGCCCTGCCTGCCAAAGCTGCCCCCTCACTCCAATGGGGCAGCCATTAAGAAACGTTGAGACCTCATTTACGTTCACACAGGGACATTTCCTCTGCTCCCTGCCTCATGGGGTCGGACCTGTCCCCCACATTCCCAGAGATGAAGCTAAAGAACACTTACCCTCTGTGAGACGAGCTCAGAGACACTGCAGAACTTGTTGGATCATATGGACTGCTGATTGCAGCCGCGGCACTAATGATTTGCGGGGCACTTTGAATTAACAAGGGTGAAAGTTTGTTGCAGTGTCTGGGAGAGAAAAAAAAGGTAGACGAACTTTTCTCTCTTTCTTTTGGGCATTCCCAGTTTTGGTCAGGAGAACCAAAGCGAATGACAAAGATTGGGTCAGCTTTTGTTTCGTCTCTCTTCAAGGTCATTTTATTCTTTCTAGAAAACAAAGGTTTTTTTTTTTTGTTTTTTGGACCAAATCCATAGAAAATGCTCCAGAGAGATGTGGTGCACCACAGCACACTGCATCATTTACTTGTAAATAATAAAAATATGAAATATATATTTACTGTATACTCTTATTTTTATTACCATAATTGATTTATTGCCTTTTGTACAAAGGATAGTATTGGTTGATCTATTTTCTAGTCTAATCCATAGGGACCATTTTTACACCAGGGTGTTTTAAAATACATTTCTGTGGATCATGTGGCCAGTTTTTTTATTTTTATTTTTTTTACTGTTGATGACCCTGAATTTACTGAATGATGATCAATGGAAAAATAGATTGGGTAATATTGTTTTTTTATTGTAAATGCATTTCATGACAACTTGTTTGGGGTTTCTTTCATGCAGAAGATGAGTTTATAAAAATGTTTGCATATGTATACAAATGTTTGCTTGGATGCGGTGTATTCAAAAGGAAACCTGTCGTTTGTTGCTAAATTGGTTAACTTCAAATAAGGTCATAACTGTAAATATTAGCTGGACACCAGGCTTGCCAAAAATTTGTCATCTGCTTCTGTTAACTTCATGCACTTTTACTGTGCGTGACTTTTGTGTGATGAACTTTCCTGTAAATGCTTCATCAGGAGTTAAATTTGCTGCCGTCTAACATCTGACGAAGCGTCGTAGAACACGTGTGTCACCGTAAAAAAAGGATCACTTTAAATAAAATGTTATTGATAAGCAAGCCAAGTTTTTAGTGTGAACTTAACTCCATAAACTAGTTTATAAATCCCAAGGGTTTTTTTTTTTTTTTTTTTACGTTTGATGTAAAATATGTTTATGGAGATGAAATGATTACTTCAGTCTCTCACCTCTAACGCAGGTTGCTGGGGTCTGATTAGATATGTTAATGAGCTGCTGACATCAGAACAAACGTTGGCGAGTGCAAAGAGCCACAGCCGGCAGTAAACACGTGATTTATTACCGTGTGGATGGCTGGCAGGAGCTGGTGCTGCACTCCCATCCATCAGCTGCACCAACCTTGATGGCTCTCTGCCTCTGGCTTCCTGCCATTGGCTGATGCATTACCTGGATTGCAGTCTCCATGCAACAGGCTAAAATCAGCAACTGGTCTCAGACTTGACCCTTCTTAAAGGCAAGCCCTTTCAGCTCCGGTCATTGCAGTCACACACGAGCAGTYTGGAACACTGAAGCTGACAATTAAAAACAAAAGCAGAAATAAATAAAAGAACCTATAAATAAACACTAAATGCACCAATTAGTTTAATAAACGATGATTTCATTTTTACTGTTTGTGTGTGTGTGTGTGTGTGTGTGTGTGTGTGTGTGTGTATATTACTTGTAGATGCATTTCTGTCTTTTTTTTAAATTAACTTTTTATTTTTTTTTCCATGATTCTGTCTTCTGTTTTTACTTTGTGTTTCTGCCGCGTGCAACTAAGGTAGGCTGTCCTCCTTGAGTCAGCTCCTCTCCTATTGGTCAATAGACAGGAAGGAGCAAGATCTATGTGCAGATTGTGCATGCCTACGCTGCTTCAGTTTAGCATTTGAAGTGTAGTTARGGAGGAGCGCAGGCATGCACAATCGACAATTCAACAAAAAGTAAAAACATTTACGAGACAAATGCATCTACAAGTAATATATATATATATATATAAAAGCGGTAACACATAATTATGTGCTAAAATATAACATTTTTTGGAACTAAACCAACCATTCATTACCTATACCCGTTTCTTCATCTCATGGTCACAGGGTCACTGGTGCCCGTATCCAGCAGTCACAGTGTGAGGGGCAGGGTACACCCTGGACAGGTCGCAAGTTTTGAACTAAGTTGGAAAAATAAATATGATAGTTAAATTATAAACAAGGTAAAGTTATCTTGTAAAACTGGTGGATTTAATTGTATTTATTTATTTATTGTGCCATTTGTATATTTCTGCTTTTATTTTCAGTTGTTAGTTTCAGTCCTCTGTAAAGTACTCCGTAAAGTAAGCGGTGAATTATAGCAAATGGTGTGTATTTGGTAATACAACCCCAAATCCTAATGATGCTAATTCTGACTTGAGAATTTTTTGTAAAATGTAAATAAAAACAATTCAATGAATTTTAAATCTCATAAATGTACATTTATTCACAATGAATTTTTTATGTTGTAAGAAAGAAWAGGGGTCATTTTTATCTATATGGCAGCAACACAAACAAGCTGTACTTATAAACAGCTGGAGTTGCTTTTTGTAACTAATTAATGGTCAACGGACCAGGAAGAGGACTGGGTATGAAGAATCATTTTAGAGAGGCTGAKTCTCTCAGAAGTAAACAACACATCTTATTAAAGAGAAAAGGGACCATTTGACTCGTTATCATTCTTCTAAAGCCTGCCTGACTGTGGAACAGATTCCTCCATCAGACAAGAGTGGGACAAAGTTCCCTTCTAAAAACTAAGTCCCCTGCTGTTACCAGACCTTTACAGACTGTTGTAGGAGATGCTTGGCTTGCCCCAATGTTGCCATTTTCTCAAAAACAATGATTTCTTAGTCTAAACGTTTGACATGTTATGATGAWGCTGCATTGTGAATAAAACAAAGYTTTGTGAGYTTTACAAATTTCTGTTTTAATTTACATTTTCCACAATATCCCAGTTTTATTAGAGCTGAGGTTTTATAATAAAACATATTTGAGTGTACAAGTCTTGTACAATCCAAGTCGAAGCCTATAAGGTCTGCCCCCCAACAGTCCCTTTCAGATTTCCTGATGAACGTCCAAAATTCAGACCAATTCAAAATGATGTCATTGTGTTTAAGATAAATATTATCAGCTCCTGGAAACACGGAGTAATAAAGTATGGTCTGTGTGCTGTGGCTGAGGTGATGATGAAGAGCTGTGCTCAAGAATAAAGAGAGCAGGCCGGGCCTTGCTTTATAATCTGCTAATGGGGCCGAGGAAGGAGCAGAGGTGCCATTAGGTGGTTATTATCACTTCTGACAGATGGCACAGGAAGAGTTTGGTGGAGCAAAGTTCATTATTTATTCCCTCAAATGGCAACAGCTAAATATGCCACGTTCAGCTGAGAGTTGTGGTTTGTGAGGTCTGTGTTCTGCTCTGATGAGGACAGTGTTAGTCTGTTGTTATGAACGAGGAAGACGAGTGTATTGAATTTAAAACATTTCTAAATCCAGAGCTGAGAGAGGGGGGAGACTTAAAACAGCAAACAATTAACTGTGTGACTGAAGAATGCCAACTGGTTTGGGAATACTGGAATTACCACCATTATCCAGCTATAATTGGTACGTTGACGTTCCAGAGACAACCTGATATACTGCAGCTGGCTTGATTTGTGGGAGAAGATCAAATATTTTAAATTTTGTCGTCATCCAGTAATTTTGATAGACAAAAAAAATACAGGAACTTGTAGAATTAGGTTGTTTGGTAAAATGAAAGTAACCTGCCTGAACAACGTGATGATTGTGGAAGTTGTGGCTCCATGATGCACTACAAAGTTGATGAGGTYGTGTCAGGCTTTAAACAATGTTCCGCTCAGGAAACATGTCCTGCCATTTACTGTATGTGAATTCGTTTTACAATATAATGGGCCACCAAATACAGGCATGGCTCAAAGCTGGAGTGACCATCTTCCAGTCAGTTTGATCTATCGTGAACCAAACCAGCATCTCTTTACCCTGCTTTGACCCTGATATCCTAAATATATAATAATAACTGCTCTCTCTGTGAAGGAAGGATGATGTGGATGAAAAATTGTTTTGTTGAACTTGGATAAGGTTYAAAAGGCCGTTCACGATCACAAGATGCTGTTGGGTACATTGCACACAAAGGTGATGGATCATTGAAGAAATATAACAAAAGAAACAAAACATAACATCCTTTAAATCTTTATCTGATTCATATATCCTTCAATTAAATTTTCAGGGTCACAGGGTAGCTAATGCTTCTCTGGTGGCAGACGAGCAAGAAGTGGGGTCCACCCTGGACGTGTCCCCAGTTCATCACAGCGACACACAAACAGAACAGACATCCACCCTCAAACCCTGTAATTTAGGCACCAGTTACCTCAACATGCTTGTTTCTGGACTGAGGGGGAAAAAACATGGAGAAACCATCTCATTCACGAGAAGCTCAAACTCCCATGCTGGAAGTTAAACTTGCAACCTTCTTGCTTTGAGTCAACAGTGACCAACCCCAGCAGGTCTTGATCCAATCAAATCACAATGACAACAACCCCTCAGTGATTAGTATACTGTAGATGTATCTCGGTTACATAACATGTTAATGCTGAAACAGTGTTGACGTATAAATCTTCTCACCTAACACAATACTCAGGCAGTGAGGTTGCTTTGCATGTCCAAGGTTGTTTTTCTAGTTTTTCACAAAGAGCTCTGTAATTGTACTTCTCAACGTTTTTGCAATTGTCATATTTCTTTCAAGTTTTATTTTTCCAGATGTTTGCTGTATTTAGAGCTATTTAGCACAAGAATGTTTGCAGTCTTAACCCACACGGTAAACCTATTAAAGATCTCTGTGTTGTTTCAGAAATCTTACTACATCTTTCAGTGCTCAGTGATTACGGACATCTGCTGAGGTTATGCTGTGTCAGCCGTGTCTCAGCATCTGTCTGTTTTTCAGCAGGTCTCTGGCCACCAATAATTGCAGAAAATGACAGGATTGCTTAGAATAAAAAAAAACATCATCTGGAAAGGCTTTCTAAACGTTTGTTGTAGGCAAGCTGCGTCTAACACTTTTTCTTGAAAGCCTGTTAAATGAATGACTTTGCCCTCGTTTACCAGAGATGGTTTGATTTATTCTAGTTAAGGATCTAGAGCAGGGGTGCCCAAACATTTTCCCCGAGGGGGCCAAAATGAAAATCTATCCAAGGCTGTGGGCCAAATGCAGTTGTATAATACATGAAATACAAGTACTTTTTTAAGTAAAGTAATTTATTTTTAGCAATTAAACTGTGCAATGGCCCTCTTTTGTTTTAGTTTGTGCACTTGGAGAAAGTCTGCCGTACGCTCAAGTAGCAAAGGCTCATGGGACATTTCATAAATAGATAAAATATGAGTTTTTGTGGCCTTATAAAGTGTGCAAATCTACATGCGGGGTTAAATCTGATCTAAATATTTCTTGTCATTTCATGTTTCTTGTTTAATCCTAGTAAATCAAAGATAAAGTCAGCACCATGACTGAAAACTACCTTCACTACAGCCCTTTTATATAGTCATTTGACCAATGGAAATACTGTGTTTCTACCTATAGGATAACAGGCTACAACCTAGTAACTTTGGCAACTGTTGGTGGGCCAAATCAAATGGCTTGGCGGGCCAAATCTGGCCCGCGGGCCCCACTTTGGGCTCCTCTGATCTAGAGGAAAGCTCGATTTGGCCCATTAATCTTCTCTGTGTGTTTCCTGAAAGCTGTGCCAGATGACATGCCCTTTATCGGTGAGGTCCGTTCAGCCCGGTGCAGATGGTGAAAAGGGTCTTYAAATGGTGAAGATGGTGAACTGGTGCTGGCGTGTGTTTCTCCTTCTTTTTGACCCTCCAGAGAACACAGAGCATGTGACAGCTGTGCGTCTCTCTCTGCCCACTAATAAACTAATAATTTATGATAAGAAAGGGAAAAGGGTTCAGGAGGAACTGAGGCAAACAGTGAGTGCACTGCATCACTTTGACTCCAWATCATTCTGGCCGGTGTCCATGAACACGAGGGA